TGTCCCTTGCCCTGGCTGAGGAGAGCGGGCCCCCTGCCCCAGTCCCATTCCTTCCTTACATTGGGGGGCCTTGATCTGCCTGCCCCCCTTCCCCTCTCCCCAACAGAGTTAGCAGCCAAACACTGGCCTCCAGGCTGCATATTGGTAATTGGATTGGTATTGGCCCCAAAAATCTTTATCAGTGCACCCCTAGGGCTGGGAACTAAGGGCAGGGGGCAGCAGGTCAGGAGTGGCGTGTCCTGGTATGAAAAAGATTGAGAACCACTGATCTAGAAGATTCAGTGTTAGAGCTTTTAACTCTATGGAATAGAACAGATGAAGTGTGTGGAGGAAAGTTGTGCTCATGTGTTTTCTGTTATGCATTCCATAGTGTACTATAACACAATGTTTAAAAAGGAATAATTCAGTTTCCTTAGTGTGTTGTGTTACCATGGGCTACTTTTGAGGACATTAACATATACACTTAAATTTAAGGGTACCTGAATGAATTGATGGTACAGGGAGACTTAAGGATGGCCACAGTTAACAAGAAGTCATTTGAGCCTTTTTGGGCTCTTAACTTGACAGAGCTTGTAGTTGCTATAATTGATCTTGCCTACTTTTGTCAAATGAGGCTTTGTACCCCAAAGCACCTGATTATGGCATTACAGCTCAAAACTCCAGTTCCTTCAACATTGTGTTTAATTTGGCAGAGTTTGAGATTTACCTTTCTGTTTCTTTGTCTTTGGCTTTGGCTTTTGTGAGGAAGTTGTAGAAATATTATTACTTGGAAACTATGAACAGGAATTTTTTTATTTTTAGGAAATTGAGATACAGCCATGATAGAAGACAAGGGTCCAAGGGTGGCTGACTACTTTGTAGTGGCAGGACTGACTGACACTTCAACTCTTCTGGACCAAGAAATAAGCCGCTGTGAAACAAAATCAACCGGTCCAAAGGCTCCAATTACAGACATTGCTGTCATTATCAAGTCAGCCGGTGAAACTGTCCCTGAGGGTTACACCTGTGTTGAAGCCACCCCCACAGCCCTTCAAGCCAACTTGAACTACGGCAGTCTTAAAAGTCCAGAGCTTTTTCTTTGCTACAAGAGGGGCTGGGACAAACCACCTCTTACAGACATTGGGTAAGATTTATTTTTCTAGTGATTTCTGCTATCTAGTGATCATAAATGGTACTTCTTTGCAAAAAGAGGATGATTCCTAAAGCAGGGAATAGTTTAAAAAAAAAAAGAGAGAGAATGTGCTCTGACAAATTGGAAATTTAGTAAGTAGTGAGTACACTGAAGTTTGAGATTTATTTTTTGGTATGTAAGAATTGCAGAGTGGTTCAGTGGGAAGAGATATGAACTGGTGTATGGTATAGAGGAAAATGGAAATGGAAAATATTATGCATATCAGTGATTTTAATAAGATCTAATGAATATGAACTGCACATAAACACCTTTTTAAAAATAGATTTTGCTTTTTAATGGCTGTGAACAATATATCTGGTGCCAGCTGTCTTGTCTGGAGTCTCTGAGCACCTGTATGGTTGCCCACAAGGTCAGGCAGGGTTGTATAGAGTGAATTAACCTTGTAGTACAGCTCTTCTTGGTTTAGTTATGACCTCTAATTCTGTATTTAAAATAAATGCATACATGCAAAATTATAATGTTGCATCTCTAAACTTATTAAAATAAGTCTCTTTGATTTTTTTTTTTTTTTTTTTTTTAAAGCTTTTTTGGAGCTTATTTTTATAACAAGTAAATACTGTAGGAAGTTTGCTGCCCATCCTGTATTGAAAATATTTGTGAACAATTTTTTTTTTTCACTGAGGACAAATACATTAGCTTCATTTTTTTTTTAATGGATGCTTTTGTAGCTTCATGTGAGCAATATTTCATAATGGAAAGCCCTCTATTTTGTTTATTCTTGCCTCAGATGGTCATAATTTCTGAAACCACAACTGACTTTTTTTTTCAAATTCTGCTTTAGAGAGTAATCTTCCCAAAACATTTCCTCCAAAAGTTGGTAGAGGGGATGAATTGTAAAACTCAGTCCTTCAGTATTGGAAACAGTTCCTTGTGGAACTTTTAAACTCCTTTACTCGCTTGCAGTCTAGACTAATGCTGGGGCTAGGCTTGGATGGAAAACTGTTCTTCTGTCTGAAGATTTTTGAGATTTCTTTTTCCACTTTAGGACAAGACAGTAACTTTTTGAGCCTTTTTGGTGGAAAAATATGAGATTAACAACCCTCCTCAGAAGAGCCAGTACCTCAGTAGTTAGGGTAATAGCCTGACATGTGAAAAGTCCAAGTTTCTGGTGAGTAACCTAGTGACTGGCTTACTAAATGGCTGCCATTGAAGCTGACCAGAAATTCAGTCTTTTCCAAGAATGTTGAATTGATTCTTATACAAAGCTTTAGTTTCCCTGAATTGGCATTTTTCAAGCGGAAGCTCGAAGATAACTTTGTTACTCTGTGCTCTGCCCAGAACCCTACCTGTTTGGCGTACATGCTTTCTCTCAGGATTAGACACATCTTTTCAGCTAATACAGCTATTTTTGTTTTCTTTTAATGAATACTTTAAAGTTACCTGTGCCATTTGCCAATTTTTATTTGAGACCCAAGGAATCTCATCAGTTTCCAATTGGCAGGTTTTGGCAAGGACAAACGGCTTACTGTTTCTTTAGGGAAATGAAATGTTAGTCTTGCTTCTCAAAGTCCATTGGCCTCAGATTTGACAAATGTACAAAAAATGTGCAAAACTTTCGTAGAGTAGTTCAGGCGGCACTGGTGAGGTAGGTTCCTATAGGAAAAAATGGTGAGTTGTGTAATTAATTAAATTTAAGCCAGACTGGTAGTAAAGGAGGGAGATGGCTGTCACAGTGGGATGGGGGTGCACAACTCCATGCCACCACCCCTGGTGCTGCCTGGTGGGCAGGGTGCACCTCACCTTGGTGGCCATGGCGGTGTGGCTGGCATGAGGTTCCTGCAAGCAGCAGCACTGAGTCTCCACTCCTTGCTCTGCCCTCCCATTCCAGGTCCCACCCACTGGGCCACGGAGGCAGCTCCTGCCTGGTGCCTGGTTCAGCCAGGCCTCAGCCCTATGCCCCATGCCTTGCTGTTGGCACAGAAATCCGGGGGGGGGGCATGCATCACCAATGGTGTTGTCTGTGCCCACACACACCTCCTTCCCCACACACCCCTTGCCCCATGCACATGCAACTTTCCCCACATACCTACCTGGTGCAGTGGGAATCTGTGCCAGGAGAGATCAAGGTGGGGGGGGCAGGCAGGGGTCATAGGTCAGGAGTGAGGGGCACTGGCAGGGCTGTGGGTTGGCAATGAGGGGCAATGGAATGAGCAGGGCCAGGGCAGCAGCATGCCGGGTGTTACCAGATTAGCCCGTCACTTTGGGGTGTGCTCATTTATTAGGGGTACATTTCTGGGGTCTCTGTAATTCTATCGTTGTGCTGCTTGTGTTACTTGTATTTCTATATGGAGCTGTATCTCTCCCTTCTGCAAGTCCTCACCCCCAATGGAGCTATCTTGCAGGACTTTTTCAATGGGGCTGGGTTCCTCCAGCCACCAAATCAATCATACACATGCACAGATTAATGTGACACGCCTGACCTGGCTGGGTTGATCGGCATGTACAGGCTGACAACACCCTCATACACCAAGAATCAGTTCATTAAGATAACAATAAAATGCAGTCAGACACAAGCGCACAGGTGAACAGAATACCTCTGAATTGGGCTAGGTGTCCAGCTGACACCCTCATGGGCCAGAATTCAGTTCATTAGGGCATGTCTGAACCAAACTGGGTCAATCAGCCTATATTGGCTGATCCTTTTATGTGTCTCAAACTCGGCACATCCCAATCTTTTGCCCTAACTGTCCTAGTAGCGATAGCCCATGGGCGAGCAATTATTTTGGGCAGAGGGCCGCTTAGCGAGTTTTGGCAAGCTGTTGAGGGCCACATGTGTAACCCTGCCCCTTTTGACAGGTGCCCCACCCGCTGTTGCCATCTTGGGACTGGAAGTCCCGCCCCAACCTCTGACCCTTGCCACCGGAAGTCCCACCCCTTGCCCCTGGAAGGTACTCCTTTGGAGAAGGTGGTTTGCTATCTTAGAACTGGAAAAAAAAAAAACAAATCATGTACAAATACCCATAATATTATATTTTAATTTAATTAAAAATATATTTTTGTCCTGATATGTGAGTGTTTATGCTTTATATGTAGAAGTGATTGCATAATAGCTCAAAATGCAGTCTTACTCTTGTAGAGTGTGCAGGAGTGTCAGGGGGTGTGGGTGGGTGGGTGGCGGTGGGGTTTGTGAGGAGCTGTGGATGTGTGTGTGGTATTTGTGGGTTGTGTGATTGTGTCTGGAGAAGGGTGTGGCTGTGGGGTTGCAGGAAGGGCTGCAAGGGAGGAGTCAGCCGGGCCCTTGCTGCCCGAAGCCTTGTGGCCACGTTTGCACTCCAGCAACTCCTGACATGGCCCAGGATGTGGGAAGTCCAGGGAGGTGGCACAGAACTTGCATCATGCTTCTGAGGTTTGGGGCGGTAAGGCTTGGCTGCCATCCCCACAAGTGGCTTGGGGGTTGCCACCACCCTGGGGGGATGGCTCAGGCCCCCACCACACCCCACAAGGGCCCCATGGCCTGGCAGCAGCTCGCCCCTTGGCTCCCGTACAGGAGGGGAGGCTGTGCCAGGAGCCAGAGCAGAGCCCTCAGCTGCTTTTCTGCATCAGCCTGATGGCCATGGGCCATATTTTTCCCACCCCTGTGATAGCCTCTTGATGAGCAAACCCCACAGTAATTTTGGGTTTTACAGGGGTCTTTGGCTTAGGTAAAAAAAGCATTGCTGCAGAGCAAGTGGGGAAGGGAAAGCAGAAAAGGAAAAATACACCTGGTTACCACCAGTTTGACTATAAAAATTATTTATTGCTAAGTATATGAAATTTATGATGGCACTAGTAACAATAGCCATGCAAGGAAAAACAAACAAAAACAATTACAGTATTACCCTGTTTCAATTGAGTATTTGGGGAAACCTAGCTCAAGTTTAAGTAATACAATTCAGGTTCAGAAAGCTACGGGGAGGGGGAGGGAGCTGGGATTCCAAGGCACTTGGATGTTCTGTTGACGGGCAGAGTTCCTAGCACGATCCTTGAAGGTTAAACAGGCAGTGGAAAGAGACGATCTGTTTATCCCAGCTTCTCGAGAAGAACAACAGATGGTATCAGAGAGATTTCTCCCTCTTGAAACACACTGTTTGCTGTTTTACAGCTTTCTTATACCCTTAGTCCAGCTTCTTCAAAGCATTCTTTTAATTGTATAAATCAAGAGGGTCCCAAGCCATAATTGACAGGGAAAATCCTGTTACAGTAAAATCTCCGGTAACCGGCA